TGGGTGGATGACGATGCAGCGAGCGAGCGTCATTAGCAAGCTAGCCAATATTGATGAAGCCATTGGCTAGTCATATATCACAAAGTGCAACGTGCGGCACTCATTGTTCAACGTCGTTGGTATTAATAGTTTAACGAGCAGCAATTTGAAAGCTTTTGAGTTGTCCCCAGATTGACTGTCGATTATTTATAAGTATGACAGGTAAATGGTCAAATCATTTATTGGGTCGGGGACAGGTCCACTTAAGGAGTTGTCACATGGGCTTATTTTGGACCCCACGACCCTTTTGCATATTTGAGTGAAGGGCCAGAAAGTTTCACTAAACTAAAACTACGTTGATGGACTCGTCGCCCTGGCGACCGCTGGGAGTTTAAGCGACGCACATAGCGGCCGCTTCGGCGAGCTGCTAAAAATTGTATACCTAAAGTGCTGAAAAATTGCAAAGTGAACAATTCAAAAGCAGTACAAGCACAAGCTCCTACAACAAGAGGAGCACAACCAAAGGCATGGCGTTAGCCCGTCGAGAACACATACAGTGGCTTACAGTTCATTTCGGGCAGTGTATAGAAAAAATTTTAAAGTGCTATAAAGTTTAAACAAAGAAACAAACGCAAAATGTTTAAATGCCAATTTGTTTTATGTTATATCACGTTTGAAAAGGAAGCTTCAGTTTTTAATAAAATATTAATTAATTAACTAAAATTAGTCAAAAACTGAAAACATGTCCAAAATACATGTCAAACTTTATTTCGGACAGTTTTAGAAAAGTAACATATTTGGCGTATAAAAACTTAAATAAGGATGTTAATACTTAGAATGATATCCTTTAGCCTTAATAACTTCCCTTAACTTATTATTCATGGAAGATACCAGCTTCCGGGTTGTTTCTGGACTGATTTTGCTCCACTCAGCCAGCAGAGCATTCTTGAGATCGAATCTGTGATTCCGGAAGTTATTTTCCAGCAGAGCCCACAAATTTTAAATAACATTTAAATCTGGAGACTGGGCCAGTGGAATTATCATGTGGGGGCAGTTCCAGATATGCCAGGACTGTACTAATCCTGTACTGTACTTATGGTTGGTTGTTGTCCTGGTCGTTGTCGTGGTAGAACCGGAAAGTACGCCGGATTCCTAGCTTCTCGGCACTTTGGAGTACATTTTCATTTAATATATTTAGATACACATTCTTGTTCATTGTTGTTTCAATGAACACCAAATTTCGGTGAAAATCTTGTTTGGAGCCATTCTGCCCTTGTCCTCTATCCGATTTTCGTCGACGAAGCGACGAATGATGTTGAATACAGTTGATTTGCTTAGATTTACCATTTCAGATATTTGGCGATGTGAATATCCGATCTTGAAGTCCTGAAGTGGATGAGATTCCGTTGCTCAATGGTAGTCCGTTTGTCCATAGTCCTTATTGGCTGGTGGCACCCGAGATGCAGGATATAACTAAACTGACCACGAAGGATTGGTCTATTTATACCGAAAATAATCAATCTGACGTAAAAAATCCGGGTTTTATGGCACCCAGGTGTCCATAATGCCACTGCCCGAAATAATATGTAACCATAATTTCAGGTACTTTTTTACATAACCCGGCCTAGCCGGCGGGGAAACCCCAGTAATGGGGGTCATATATTCATTATGATGGTTAATATATGTACCTGCCACCGGTCTTTGAAATTTTTGAAAAATATTGGATAATTAGTTTATGGCAGGCAATTACAATTTTTGCTAGACACTGCCCGAAATGAACTGTAAGACACTGTACATCCTTTCGACCGACCGCGCCACCAAATAACCACAAAGAACTTTTCGGGCCGAAAGTCGTTGTAGCCATCAAGTGGCGGTAAAGGGGGAGACTCTGCAGGAGCTGCAGCTGCAGCATACGAACGATTCAACTCATGGGTATGAGCTGGGTGCAAATATCTGAAACAGTTTCGCCTGCACTTCAGCTGGCTACGTTCGCGGCTGATGATTTCACTTGAGTCCATGCGGGGCAGACGGGCTTATTGATTTTGTGGCCAACCCAATCCAATAACAAAGACTACCATATCTCTTTCAATATAGTGAAAAGCTTCTAGGCCCGCAGTTCAGGTGCCCAAATCTTATCAATGCCTCGCTTATAAGAAAATATTTTAAAAAAAATAACTATACACATCTATACACCGACCACTTGAAAGTAGTCGAAAGCCTACTTTACTAAAACTTTTTTCAATTGTAAAAATCTTTAAAAATTTTTATTTATATTTTTAAATAATATTTTTATAAATTCAAAATTTGTGGTTATGGTTAAAATAAAAAATAAATAAATCAAATGTAATTTCCTTGAACTAAAAGCTTTCAAGCATCAAGTTTATCTTAGGAAAAGTGTAAGTATAAACTACTTAACAACAAGCGCAAATCAATAGTTAAATAAAAGAAAACCATTACTTGCCTCATTATTTATGCATTGTTGGGGCACTTGTACAGTCTGCAAAGCCGCACCAATTTGGCGTTTTCTTTGCGTTTAGCTCCCCGAGTATTACTTTCACTTTACCAGCAGCATAAAGCAGCAGTTTTTAGTACTACATATTCATTTATCATTGATAAGAAACACAATCAAGAAAATTAACGAATGGCTGACTGAGCAAATGAATGAATGATCAACCTAAACACACACACTAACTTACTTCGACTCGTAGTGGAGTCCGAGTTCTGGCGCTGGTCCTATTTCCGTACCCTGTCGACGTTGCGAGTTTGAGTATTACCATGTGTCGACTGTTACTCTCTCACTCTCTACATTCTGCTCATACGCAAACTTATCAAGCGTTCCACATTTCACAGCTTACAGTGCACATTTCTCTAATTCAATTTCTTTTGATTGGGTTGCTTTGTCTCTACAAGATCTGGCTTTGAGCATTATTAATATTTATGTCTCTCTCTCTCTCTCTCTCTCTATCTCTCTCTCTCTCTCACTCCTTCACTCTCTATCTCTGTGCTTATGATTTGCGGATCTGATTTACGTGAGACCCACGCGAACACTTGTCGCTGAAAATTATGCAAGTGCAACAAGCATATTGCGCTTACAAAATTAATGGACCCTTATGGATTGGGCGCTAGTGAAAGAGGGGAGGGGGTTTGGATGTACTTCTCATGTGCTCATGGTTAAAAGTCAATTAGTCTAATTGCCCGAAATGCAATGAATGTCAATTTTAATGAGGCCAGCGCACATGGAAAGCAGAGCATTAGGCAAACAGCCAGCTATGCCCCCAATTAGGCGGGACGCTAAAAGCGCAAAAGCTGAAAGCATTTCTTCTTGAAACAGCTTTTCATCATTTACTCAAATTAAAAAAAAAAGACAACACACCTGCAACAACAACAAGAGCAACAGGAACATAAACTGGCTGTCAGCCCAAAAAGGACACTCGTAAAATTTGCACCTCACTTTGCTAATGTGACAGCTTAGCAGCAACAACAATAAGGAAGAGGGAGAAGGAATGTGAAGGAGGGGGACAATGTGGGTGAGTGCCGCAAAGAAAACATTTTCTTCTTGGGGTATAAACTAAAATTCACTTTACACTCGAAAAGTATTAAAAGGGTCAGAGGTCGACGCTGGCAAAGACATCAACAAAATTAGCACAGTGCGCAGGGGTAGGGGGTAGCGGTGGGGTAAATGATGACACTAACCGAATTGATGTGCCAATTAATGAAGTTAATTTGAAAATTTTACATTGTTATGTGTTGGTTTCACCCGAAATAGTTGCTTCTGCTGGCAACTGACACTCTGTGTGTTTGCGTGTGTGGATTGTAGTTGTGGCCATTGCTGCTCTATTAGTAAATAGACCACATCTATGCTGACAACGCTGCAATAACTCTTGAATTCTATTATGCCCAAACGGCATTTGCAACTAGTAGTAGCAGGTGCAGTTGCCGCTTGCTCTCGATTTGTTTTCTGTGAGGTTGTACGAGCATCGGGGCTAAGCAATGCATAAATTACGCATTGTAATTTAATTAAAACCAATTTGTGCACATCCACTGCCCAACAACTAGCAGCAGCGATTCTACCTGCACTCAAAAAAGTAAAAAATAAATAAATCTACCATAAATATAGAAAATTGACATACTTGCTGCAAGGGCGCGCTATAAGTGGGCGGCTCTTTGAAATCTTAGATCTTAAAGTTCCACATGCCACACAGTTAAAATTTTAAGATACTAGTTCAAATTTTGTTTTGAGTGTGCTTGTCTGGCTGTTAACAGCATCAACTCATATTTTCAGCACTTTTTGCAATTTTGCTTGTATACAAGATGAGCCAGCAGCAGCACCAATGTGCACACGACAGCATAATCATCAATTCCATCATCAACCCCATCATCAACCCCTTCATCAACCCCATCATCAACAACAACAGCAACAATAACATTATGAAACAAGCAGCGGAGTCACCTGGCCGATGCGTATATGTGTTGTTATCTGTGGCTAATTATTACATTGTTCCAACACAGCTCACATTAGCCACTTGACCGAGTAGCCAATAAATCAATGTCGAGCGGGAAATAATATGTTCATAGAACAAAGTTGGCATAAGAGTGCGAATGGAATGTACATGCAAATAAATGAGTGATGTATTCAAATCATTACATTTTATGTCTCATAAACAATGTATTTACGTATCCAAGGGGAATATTGATCTGCTTTATCAATTTTGGCAATAGAGTTGAACATTATATCAAAATTGGTTATAGTTATATCGTTTTATAAATGTATGAACTACTTTATGCGGTATCTATCTTTTGTAAGATATCGACTATAGGTCAATAAAATTTGTGTAAAGGGGAAAATATTTTTATCTGTATAATTTATATATAAATATTAAAAGATTTATTGTCGTACTCAGCATCAAAATAGGCCGATTTTATTTGTCATAACACAATATACATGTGTGCTATACTTAGAATTATTATTTTTTAGCAGGCTATTCTATTGTATTTAAAATTTGCTTTACTGTGAGGTCTGAGGTATATCAAAGACGTACGTTCGATAAAAAAAAGTTAATTTATACACACTTGGTACAACAACAAATATATCCAAAATTTTGAGTTAAAGGCGCGTGGATCTCCACAGTGAAGTGGCGCTGAAAGAACTAAGTAAATTGTTTCGGTAAATATAGAGTACACTGACACCAAAGAACAAACGGCAGCAATCACCCATTGAAATCAATATCGCAAAGGACGAGGTATAGCCGCTATATAAATTTATAACATGAAAGCCGATCGGCTTATGCGTGTCAATGGACGCAAAAATCTCTGGCTATTGCGGAACACCAATAAGATTTACGATAGTGCGGTAAAGAGCTACTATGACCGCAAAAACTCCTTCCTGGCCTGCAATCCAAGTGAGTACATATGCACATAAATATAAGCAAAGATATTTAAAATACAAGTGATTACATCATCAATCCCTTACAATGTTAATATGTTCGAGCTCATCTGTTGTGGAGACTATTAAAAGGGATAGATACAAAATTCAAATTTAATAATATATATTTTGAGAAATAGTAATTTGATAGCTTTAAAGATTCACAACTGAGAAACCGAACGCCGTGTCAGTTCCCGAAGAAGATTTTTACTGGATATCGAATGTGCTAAAGCAAAAGTTACGTACCCTTGTCGACCGAAGTTCCCCTTTATATAGTTCAATTTATTTATTCATTTAAATATATGTCCGATTGTTCGCATATAAGGCCGTTGATCTCTGGTGCAGAGAGCCAATCTATCTTGTTGATCAGAAGAACATCATTCACGGTGTAATATGAGGTCTATATAGACCTTGGGGAAGAATTTATCACCATCTAAAATTGCAGCACTAAGCAGACAATACATAGAGGTGTCAAATCGGCAAAAAAAAGTACATCAGTTTTTTTCTGAGACTGTGGGCTCTATTCTGCCGAGACTGAAACGCCTCGAAAATTTTGCAGGGGAGGCGTGTCGAGCAGCGAACCCAAGTCATTATTTTACATAGCTTCGCTGCTACAACTTCGCGGGTAAATTAAAAACCCAGCCTTATATGAACAAGCGTGCAAAGGTGCGAACAGGTTCAAAGATAACAGCAACACTCTATTCTTGTCTTGTCGTGTGCGAGCTGCCATTCGATTTTAATTATTTTTTTTTAGTTATTTGACCTGATGTGTACCTTTCGTAAAGTGGGTTGGTATAACTGTTGACCAATTTAGCAAGTGAAATAATGACTTGCGTTCGTTGCTTGGCACGCGAAGCCTGCAACATTTTCGACGCCTTCTGAGTAAAATAGGGCCCACAGGCACCGAAAAAACCTGATGCACATTTTTGTCGATTTGAAGCCTCTATGTATTGTCTGCTTATTGGCTATAGCTTGACATTGAAAATATTAACATTTCAATCTTATCCATCAGCAGTAATGCAGAGTCTGAAGGTGTGTGAAGAGCATAGAGCACCGCTGCGGAAAACATTGTTGGAATATCCACGCAACCACAAACAGGTGGTCGAACAGGTGAATAATGCCAATTCGGGTAATCTACTGAGTACCGTGATTCAGGCCAATCGACGTCGTTCCATGTCCTTTTCAGCTGGCGGCCTGCGCATGTACCGCGGCAGCAGCCGGGAATGGGGAAACTTCGGAAGCAGTCTAGCAAGTAGCAGCACTTCGCTCGGTGCCGGCAACAAGCAGAGGCGCAACATGCGAACGGCAGCTGCTGAAATGGATATTGATCAGCTCAATCTGAGCGTATTGCACGGACGTTCGATGAGCTTACCGGCGCGTACAACACTCGAGTTGGGCATGGGCAATGCGTCAGACAACAACAAGGTCAGAAAGAGAGATCCCCAGCCCAGCTGCCGTCATCATCTAAATAAGATTGAGCAGTCAAGGCAACGGCAGCACAGTCGGATTTCTGACTACGACTATGCCGATCCGCAGCTGATGGTTGTTGATGAGGCACTGAAGCAATGTCTTGCCGGCCGATTCGACCGCCAAGCCGAAGCTGGCGAGAACTTCGGCAAAGGCCGACTTATCGATAGCCTGCAGCTAAAGGGTCTATCCCAGGCGGCCCAAAAGGAGCAGATGCGCATCCACACGCTCGGCGATCGCATTAGACGATTTGAGGTTATACAATTTGCAGATGGGCCAGTCAAATTTCAAGCCTTCAATCGCCGTCAAGAGTATGGAAGTGGCCGCATCCGGCATCTAGACAGCAAGCAGATACCAAAACAGCCGCACTGCCTCAGCTTTCACAATGTGCTCCACACGAATCACAGGCAGCGCAGCATGAACTATCCGATAAAGCAGGAACTGAAGCAGAAGCAGGAGCAGGTACAAAAGATGGTAATGGGGACAAAGCGAAGGACACAGGCCGTTCAATTGGTCAGTGAAAAAAAGAAGGCGACGCCGCTGGAGCCGCTGGGGCCGCTGGGGCCGCGGGCGCCCAACCGGCGACCGCAGCAGAAACAGCAGCAGCAGGAACAACTAAATCCAGGATATATAGATGCCTCGCCAAGGCCCAATAAAAAGCTTAATAAGACCAAATCAAAAAGGTCCATCAGACTAGCCAAAACCCGGAGCAAGATCCTAAAGCAGACCGGAAGCCAGACCAACACCAAGAACAAGCAAATGACCCAGCAGCAGCAGCAGCAGCATCACTTGGACAAAGGAAAGATCAAGAAGATGCGCAATCTAATCTCAAGCAGGTACTGCGCAAGTGGCATCCAAGCAGCTGCCACAACCAATAAAATCACTCGCACCAGTCATGTGGTTCATATTAGAAGCAGCAACGCCGGCCGACGACTGGAATTGGCACCTCAACGACTAGCCGAGCAGCTACAGGCGCAGCGCGAAAAGAAAATGCCACAAAAAATGACAATAAAGCTGCCCGAACAGCCGGAGTCATTGAAAGGTATAAATCATCTGGTAGCTGCGAGTGCCAGTCAAGTGACCGACTGCAAGCGTGCCGTTAAGAAGCAACAGCAGATAATGCGGGCAGAAATGTTGCACATGCACGCTCAACAGCTGCGCCAGAGAGAGCAGCAAAAGCAACAACAACCGCAGCAAATACACCAACTACACCGCGAACTCGTCAACCGACAGCAGCAACACCCGCAAAAACTGTTGAGTAAACCAACGGGATGTTTGCCAAAGGCTGTTAAAACGCACGCGATATCGCAGCCAATGAGTAAGCTAAAGCCGCCAGCTAAAATGAAACCAAAGACGAAGCAGCCGAGACAGCAGCAGCCAAAGCAGCAGTACCAAAAGCAGCAGCACCAAAAGCAGCTGAAGTTACCACAGACAAAGAAAAGGGCAACACAACAGTGGGAGGGTAAAAAGTCTACGGGCAATCGGCAATCAGCGGCGATTCCTCTGCCTGTCGAGCCCAGCCAGAAGCGAAGACCTCAGAATTTACCAATCCACGAGCCCGCCGGCGGTCACAAAAACGCCACGGAGAAATACCTATCGACATCGTATCAGAGAATGCAGCAACAGCAGTTGCATCAGCAGCTGCGGCAGCGTCGACAGCAGCCCTACGAGAACATCTGGCGTCACACCTACTAATGGCAAATCTGTATATGCACACAACACTAACATGCATACTTAGTAACATCCACACACACGCATGACCTACATACCCAATTGCGGAAGACTGCATTGACCTGTCCGATACATACACAGAGCGACGAATCTCAACAATACTTGTTATTGGCAATAAAAAATATAAAATATATATAAATACAAACATTTTAAACTGTGAATTCAAATGTGAATAATGCACTTAGAAGAAGAATGCTGGTCCAAATCAGTGCCGGTCAAGTCATAAGCGCATTGTGCAAACGTTTGCTCGAGCTTTTACATGAATAGAAAAAAAGCTTTTACGTTGGCAATAATAGAAAGAATAGACCTAGTCAACAATCACGAATCAATTGTCGATGTGTATTTGGTCGGTAATGATCTAAATACAGGGAATACCATTTAAAATAAAGTCTTAATGCGATGCTCCATGAAATCAAGCTCCTGATTTCGAAGCGCAACGTTTTAAAATGAGATCAACTGTACTTAATCAATCAAGAATAAGACATTTTTATATTGCACAATATATATAATATAACATAAAGGTGCAATCCCTGGTATAGAATGGTCGATTAAGGTCGGATTTTGGCAGCGATTTACTTGATTCGAAAATAATATTGCTTTGTTTCTCTTTTCTGAGTGTATGAATGGGAATGTGGCTGCCAGAGGCCAATACTAATGTCAATAGCATAGAGGTACGGTCACCCTCTCCAATACACCCGCACGCACAAACATACACACACACACACACACACATAAGCACATAGCAGCATTAATTTTTCATGCAGATTTAACCGTTACATGACAGGACCACCTAACGATAAGCCGCCGAATGAGCACCGAAAGAAAATGGCGACGGCTTTGGTTTAGCATAGCAAATAAATGGAATTGGTGAGGGAGATGGGCGGGGTGTTCGCTTCAAGGGAGCTAGTGGCTTGTCAGCCTACGAATTGTTGCCACGCTTTGATAAATGATGATGTGTTGTACATGACTCGCCATATATAAATATACGTATTTATATATAAGAGTGGGCTGCGTCGTAGCCGTCTTAGGCCTTAAACCAGAGCCAAGACTAGGATCTAGCCCAGGAAACCAGCAGACCCACTTACTGAATGACGTATTAGCTGGCCGTATCGTCGCTGTCTGGATGGAGCTTGATTATCAGATTGACAAACGAAACTATTGACGCTGGAGTAGGAAAAACAAAACAAGAGCAACGCACATAGGCTCAACAACAACAAGAACAAGAACAGCAGCAGCAGTTTGCGGAACCGAGGTCTGGACCAACGCCTGAAAAGGGCTGCTCCATACTCAAATATATATCAATCGATTTTAATCGGCTATATCGAACTTTGTAACCAATCAACCATGGTCATGTGCTACACGTTTTGGGCGAAAATAACTTTGTTGTTAAATGCTGTCATAATTGAGACTTTCGAGCCCTGATCGCGAATAGCAAATAGGACCCTATATATTTCTATAGCTCTTTCGGGGTGGCGTAGGTTCGCAATGCTTTCTGATTCTCACTACAAATTAAGGATCCCTACAGATATGCAGCACAACTTAATACAAGGATCTAATCAAATAAAATAAGATACGCTACTTACGTTACTCGTCTGAGCGGCTCATACACTTCACATAAAAAATGATGGTGTCTTTTTATTGTTGCTGGCTCAAAGGTGTCACTTTACAAGTCAAAATCTGACCTGATATTCGACACACGCATTCATACCCAATCCGTCCATGACCTAAGTATGTTTCACTGAAGGTCTCCTTATACACACGCTTGCTTCCCCTCATTTTACCATGTCTTTAGAATTTAATAGTATGTGTTCGAATCTTAACTTAATTTTAATGTAGCATATTTTTATTCAGGTGCGGAAGGCTATAAAAGTCATGCGACTAAGAAAAAACGGCCACGTACTGAAAAACAACTATTGCATATTCTTAGATCTACCACTTTTAATGTACTACTATATTTATTTACTTTTACATCGCACCAACAACAGGTGTAAATAAAAAAATACAAGAGCGAATATTGCAGTCTGGCGTAACCGACTGCGAAATACTTTGATACCATAAGTAAGCTGCTACTAACAGGTAGCAAATAACAGGGTGGTCGTAACCAAGAAATACTGTCCAAGTTTTTCAAATTGCGGTGGATATAAGCTTTTGTGAATTTTGAGGGCGGGAGTGGGCTTGTCCCAAAAAATGGCTGGAAATGTTTCCTAGTAACCTTCCTTCCAAGTTTGTTAACTGTAGCTCAAAAATTACGAAAGACATAGGCTTGAATTTTTGGAGGCGGGAGTGGCCAAAAAAAATGTTGGAGGACGATCTTAGTACTCTACCTTCTAAGTTTTCTAACTATAGCTCCTAAATTGCAAGAGATATAGGCTTTTATCATTTTTGGGGGCAGGAGTTGGCGTGGCCAACATTTTTATTTCCTCATTTTTTAAGGATGTTACTTGTAATATACCTTTAAAATTTGGTGACTCTATCTTTCAAATAGTGTGAGATATATGGTCTAATCAATTTTCACTAACAGGTATAACCGTTTTGGGAGGCGGGCCGAAGATCCTGCGGCAGAAGGTATGGGCGTGGTCTGAAAATATTTATCTATCTTTACGGGAGGTTACCAGCAAGTTACCTTCCAAATTTTGTGACTCTATCTTTAAAATGTGGAAGATATGTGGATTTATCTATTTACACTTTACGAAATTTCGTCTTTGGCGATTATGGGCGCAGGTGTGGGCGTGGCCATTTAAATTTGTTTTCGGTTCATAAAGGCATCTACCAGTAATATACCTACCAAATTTGACGGCTCTAACTTAAAAACTGCGGCGGGGACCAGAAGACTGCGACGATGGGAATGGCATATTCCGAACTTTGAAGAGCATCGCCAACTTACCAACTAAATTTGGTGACTGTGGCCTTCAAATTGTGGAAGATATGTGGCTTTATTGAATCGCGATTATAGATTTCGCACTTTGTCTGACGCGGGCACAGACCAGTATATGTTCCAAATTACAAGTCTCTCTCTCTAAGGGAGTCGAAAAAAGTTGCGTTTATACAGACGGACAGACAGCATGATGTACATGGCACAAAACCAATATGCTATAATACCTTCAGTAAGTGAGTATAACAAATGTATAAATTCCTAGCACCGGCCATTACAACTTTGAGAATCGCGAACTCAGTTTCCGAACGTAAACGAGCATGAACTAACATATTCCTTAGCATATAGCATATAAATTATTTCAAATCATTTATATTCAATGATCGAATGAGACACAAAATAGTCTCAAGCAACAGTTTTCACTTTTTACGTGGAAGTGACCATTCCAATTGTTGGTGGCACCAGCAACAAAGTTACAATCACATTAATGATCTATATATATTTAATTTGTCGCCTGTGTGGCTTAACATAAATAGTTGCTGTTGCATATTCACACTCTCTAAAGTGTAGTTTAGCTGCAGCAGCCAGCGTTTAGCTCTATTTGTGCAGCGCTCTCTTTCTCTCTCTCGAAAAAGGGCGTTCGCTAAGCCGCCGGCTTCTGTTATTCGTTTTTTGCAACTGTAGCTTATCGATCGTGATTACAATTGTGTTGAAAGTTTAGCTATTCACTTCAAACTTGTAATTGACAAAAACAAAGTGTTGTTGAAAAGACTAAGCCCTGGCTTCTAGTCTAAGTATATTAAATAAAGTTTATAACGTGAAATATACTTGTCTTATTATTGGATAACAAAGCTATCAAAAAGCTGATAGCGCAAACACCTTGATCTCCATTCGCCCTGTCGTGCTCTGATTTGGGAAAGAGAGGATCTCTTATTCATAAATACATACATATAAGTGGGCCTAAGACTATTTATTTAGTTTCGAACTGCAATAAATATCGACATGCAATTTTCAAATACCAATGAATGTATACTCAGAATTAGCAAATAAGACAACCAATTCTGACAGCCAATCCAGTTGCAGACACTGATCTGTTCCTCTTCTATGCAGTTTTAAAAAGGAACAAAAAATAAGCAACAAAATAAAAAATAAAAAGGCGGATCAATTTTCATTTGCATATATAAATAAAAATCAAATGAAATTAATTCCAACCAGCAGTGGCATACATTGGGACATTCAACATCCTACTAATACACCCACTCACACACTCCCCTTTCCCACCCACTGAATCTTCCAGCATCAGACAGAGGTAGAGCGAGAGAGAGGCGCAGAGAGGAGCACACATAACAGACTATGAGATTAAATCAAATCAAATAAAATGGCCTTTTATGAGATGCGGGTGTTTGGGGGCTGATGGTAGCGGAGACATCTCAGCTCAACTCCAACTTCAGCAAAGTAACATCCGAAAGGATTCAAGAGAAGCCACACAAAAGACGACTTGGCACCGTGCAGCAGACAACGGCAGTTGATGACGACGAGGAGCACCAACTTGACAGAGTTACCCCATCCACCCCTTGCCCCAGCTACCTTTTGGCTCTCCTGTGCGTTGGCCTGATGCGTTGGACAATAAAATAAATCCACCGCAAAGCCACTGCGGGTATATTTCTCTGTTGACCCAAAATCCTCTCTCTCTCTATCTCTCTGTCTCTCTCTCCCTCTCTCTCTCTCTCTCTCTCTGTCTCTCTGGCTTCCCAAGACAGCAAAAAAAAGGTGCAACACCATAACCCATCCCATCCGACATCCCTCTTCAGTGCTCGCTTCACCCTCTTACCTAACCGCAAATCTAATCTCATGCTGACAGTCGCGGAGCAGCAGTCAGTTGTTCAGTTGGTCGGTTTGTCAGTTTTTGGCTAATTTCGCGTTTTGAAAGCTGCTGCTGCTGCTGCTTTTGCTTCTGCTTCTCTTATTGGTTAATGTGGTTGCTATTTATGATGCAGTAGCTCCCTGTTTCTGCTGCACCAGACAACTAAACAGACAGGGCGAATGAGAAAGAGCACGCAAAAAATAGTTGAATAAATGAAGCCACTTCGCAATGTCGCATTTTGTCCGAGTTGCCGTTTCCTGTGTTAAAAATCATCCTGCTCCTCACTTTTCTACACTTGATGTGTGTGTGTGTGTTTGTCACTCGTTTTTGTGGTCATTTCAAATTTTCATTTCATTTGCCATAAAAAGGAAATTGGTTTTGTATGCTAGTTACCCTTGTCCAGTACT